ACAAATTCTCTACTTGTAATTTCTTAGAACCTTAGGGATGAGTCCTTTGGGTTCAAATGGGCGACACCAGAAAACTGAACAACAACTACTTACAAGGCCAGTATTGTTTGTAGTAATGGGAGTGATGGAGAATTAGAGTGACTTTCTTGTTTACATGTGGTCTGAGGAGAAGAGCTCAGTGCACTGTGTCAAACAAAACATCTCCGTGCTGCTGCAGTATCCCAGGCACAGGGATATGCTGCACTTATTGACTCCAGCCACTGAAGAAGTGAAGAGTCTTTGGAGTCAGCTGAGTCATCCCTTTGTACTCTGCGCTGGTGAGGCTGCACCTCGAATACTGTGTTCAGTTTTGGGCCCCTCACTACAAGAAGGACATTGAGCTGCTGGAGTGTGTCCAGAGAAGAGCAACAAAACTGGTGAAGGGCCTGAAGAACAAGTCTTATGAGAAGCGGCTGAGGGAGCTGGGGCTGTTCAGCCTGGAGAAATGGAGGCTGAGAGGAGACCTTATCGCCCTCTACAACTACCTGAAAGGAGGTTGTAGTGAGGTGGGGGTTGGTCTCTTCTCCCCGGTAACTAGCGATATGACAAGAGGAAACGGTCTCAAGTTGCACCAGGGGAGGTTCAGGTTGGACATTAGGAAGAACTTCTTCACTGTAAGAGTCATTAGGCATTGGAACGGGCTCCCCAGGGAGATGGTGGAGTCATCGTCCCTGGAGGTGTTCAAAAAACGTTTAGATGTGGCACTTCAAGACACAGTTTAGCGGGCATGGTGGCATCGGGTATACAGTTGGACTTGATGATCTTTGAGGTCTCTTCCAACCATAATGATTCTATGAATCTATGATTCGGGTTCAGGGCAGAAGTTGAAGGAAAACCTGTTATGTCTTTGGCACAGTCCCATCTTAACATCTTACAGTTTGGTATGATCTTCCCTGCAAGGTAGATACCAACCAATAGGTCCCAAGTAAGGTCTACAATTTCATCATCAAATGGCCACTTTGCCAGCAAAACAGGCTCCTTCAAGAAAGCCAGTCAATAAGCTACAACACTAGGAGACTCCATTATCCCATCTGGATGCCTGTAGCAGGCAGTATTTCCTCACCACGGCACATTACATTAACAAATCAACACTAATTTACCATTAATTTATTAATTTAAGAATAAAAAATAATCAGCAGTTTCCATTCAGAAAGGCTGCCATCTGCCCAGCAGTAAGGATGCTCTCCCCTCAAGCCTCCCTTCAGCACCCTTCCAGAGCAACTAACGGGGCCATCCATGCTAGCAGGACGCACCTCCCGTTCCCCCCTCCTCGGCCACACACTGTGCTGTCCTGTGTTTTGGTGAACCTACCCTCTGCTCTGAAGAGAAGTGCTGCCTGGGCTGCCTCACAGATGCCCCAGTGCCAGCTCTGGTGCCTCAGGCAAGGCTCATTCCCTGCCTCAGTCCAGCCCCAGCTCAACAGCCTACACCACCCAGGAGTGCCTCTGTACACTGCTCGGGAGACCATAGGGAACCAGGAAGATCAAACACCCTTCTCAGATGATTTCCTCCCCCTTAAAAAACATTTGTAAGCATGGGAAGATGGGAAAGAGATCTCCCCCTTTGCCCAACTAAGATATTTGCTGTTCTCTTCTTCCACTTTGCAACAGGAACAATATTCTTTTTAACCTTAGTTTGAACGCTTAAATGTATTTTATCCAAAAATTACTCCAAACTGTTGCAAAACAGAAATGCAAGTGAAGCCAGACCCATCCAATCTTTTCTTCTTCTCTCCAGAAGTTGCAGTGATGAGATACGTCATGAGCAGAGCCTTTGCCTGCCTGTAGCTGGCCTCTGACTGGGAATCCTGCGGTCAGCCTTCTGGGTTTCAGGCCACATCAGCACTGGGGTCCTAGGAGAATTAAGCAACACTATATAAAGTCATCTTTCTCTGGAATGGGAGCCTTCAGGTGTTAAACATGGTTTATGTGCATTGGCATCATAGATTTTTGTTAGTTTTCCCGGATGTCAGGAACAGAGCTAGTAGCTGGAGTTGAATATTCCTATGTACACCTGGGTGTGAGTTGAGCAGAGCACTAAAGTACCTACACGCCATCGTGCTGCCAGTTAGCACAGCTCCTGCCATGTGTGTGCTGAGTCCAAGGACACAGAGCAGCCACCCAGGGAGGGACAGCGAGGTGGCATTAATGCAGTTCCTGGAGAGTCTGCACACACAGGTCTTCCCACAGCACAGGGGGTGGAAAAGGCTGGCACACAAGCAGCAGAAGGCCTGCACCAGTCATAGGCATTTGTTACGTTGCTCCTGTTACCTTTTCCTTGCTGAGCTTTTATCTTGATTTTTGTGCAATAAAATCACATTAATTAAACTGTGAATGAATGAATAGAAAGGCCCTAAATCAATATTAACATTTGGAAAAGACTGGTTTGAACAGCTTAGGAATTGATTCCACTTTATTAAAACATCTGTTCTCCCAGGGAATGTTTTAGTAGCAATCAATATGTAATTAAGCCTTTATTACAATTGCTTTGTTTCCCAGCAATTGTGGTCACAGAATCAGCTTCCCTCAGTTGTTCCTCCTTCCCAGCTTTACTACTGATCTTCTATGAGCCTATTGGCAACTCACCACACTTCTCTCAAGCTGTTATTAACAAATTGGGACTACAATCACTCTGAAACAGCTCTAATCCTAACCCACTGTGCTAAGCAAAGGCCAATGACAAAAGCCAACCTCTGACCTGAATAAGGTGATAATAATAACAACAGGAGCTCCAAGATGATATAAACACAAACGTTTCAGTGAAATCAACAGACAACTCTCAACTAAAATATCTTTGGAAAGCTAAGCTTTTGTTAGGCTTTTCTACTCAGATTCTAAGTCCCTCAACACTGGGATTACTTCTCACTTGTTGCCTGTCCAGCCTCAGGAAATGCAAATGTCATGGATTCAGCCATATAAATCATTCATGCTCCCTGCTTAGGCAGTTACAAATTTCCATTTGGCCTTTCCAGAATAACACTCTAAACATGGGGGGAATCGCTCATATTTTCACTAAAATCTCATTACACAGTCAGAGGAGAGCATTTCTGCAGAGCCTCTTAGCCACACCAGAGCTAAGGGGCTGCAGGGTGAGAGTCCCTAAACTGAGTCACGAAGGGGACAGCTGTCAGCAAATGCGCCGCTTCATTACAGATTTTTAAGCAGCTGGGAGGGAAAGTATCCGTTGTTTAAAGGGGAGCAAACCTCACCACCCCACGCCTGTCTTGCATCTCTCCCGCTGGAGCCCTGCCCTGTGACCAAGACGTTTGGGCACCACTCGGGCAGGCGAGGGGCGGGGGTGACCGGGATGCTCGCTCACCCCGCCCTCTTCGGCGGACGGGTCTCGGGGTCCCCCGCGGGTCCGTGAGCTCCCCGCCGCGGTCCCGCCGGCCGGGCTGCACACAGGCTGTCACCCACAAGATGGTGGTGTAAGCACGGTTTTCCCCGCAGCAGGCATCCCATCCCCGGTCCTGGCATGCCTCTGGCTAGAAATCAGCGCCTGAATCTGCTCTTAAGAAAAACCGGGGGAAGGCTGATCATCAGTGTCAATGAGAACGAGTGGCTCCTCGAGAAATCAAGTGGGTCCTCTAGCCAGCAGAAGGGACATGTGATTCCCTGTTCTTTGATGCCTGGAGTTGGCCCACATCCCCCAAAAACTGAGTGAAGAACCTCCCCTTGATGCTCAGTTTAGAGACATATCTCCGACACATTTTAGCACAGATGAGAAATTGGGATATCACTAAAACCACAAGCACTTAAAGGATCAGAGATTGAAACCCCCTCCTTTTCATGTTCACATGAGGGATGCAGATACCCTGACCCCGGGTCTGGGTCCTGGACTCCCTAAGACTTTTTGAACTCACCACTCTCGCTGCACTGGTTCGTGCTCATTTCAGGAGTGCAAGGGAGGAACCACCCCTCTGCCAGAAAATTCACCCACTTGATCAGAAAAGCTACTTCTCTGAACACAATGGCTTTTCATAATTACACATTTAAATGAATTGGTTTAAGTGTGGAGAATCATTGTTCAAGGCAGACCCAAGCTTCTCAAAGCATTTTATCCTGTTCTCTTTGTATCATTGTCCAAATCTGGGGCCTCACTCAGCTAGTGGTAGGCACAGTCATGGCAGGGGGAAAAAACTTCAGAGGGAGACCGCTGACTTCTGTGAAGGTACTGTGAAACGAGGAGCAGAAACAGGTCTGCTTCCAAGAGCAGGATATGCTGTATTCACCAAAACCAAATCATCTGCACCAGTTTTGATTTCACCACAGCCTGACACTGACATGAACTTGTCAGTCTCCCCTCGCAGACACTCACACAAGCGAGAAGGAAATCAGGCACATGGCTTTCAACTTTCACATGCCTACAGCCAGCTTAGCTCTGCTATTCCCTTGGGCTCCTTGGGGAGCCCCCACTGATGTTATGCAGATAAGGCTGCTAAACCAGCCCACCTGGGACTGAATTCTCCATTCTGACCCATGCCCTAAAGCCTCATTTGTATCTGCCAGTCCTTCCAGACTCACCCTGCTAGCACCAAATGGTCGGTGCTGTACCAGCTTGTCCTAGTGAAGTTAGCAAGACTTCAGGAGAGCCCAAGTTTTGTAGGGTTGTTCAGACTTGTGAAACAGCTACAGAGAATTTTAAAAAGCCTTTAATTTCACTTCCAAGTGCCACCCTTCATAATGTGTTAAAAGAGAAGGGAAATTGCACCGAACAAAATGGAAACAAAAAAGAAACATTCCCACTTGTGTTTGAAAAACTTTTGCAGAAGTGAGTAGATTTTAATGTGTAATAAGCATCCGCATCCTTCAGAGAGCTTTGGAAATCTTGACCATTAATTTGATCTTCTTTTTCTCCCCAATTGGATCAATGGAAAGATTTTCTACATGTACATTTTCAGACCCTTGTTCACTGTTAATTTTCTCTCTGTATCCATTTCAAGATCTTCCTCCTAGATTTTGTCAGTCACTGCCACAGAGATTCAGCAAGGCTGTCTTGTAATCACCACTGGTGTCGTCCTGACAGAAGTAAAAATAAAAAAAAGGGTAAGTGTGGAAGTTCCTCTGCGTACTCCGAGTGCTGATTTTGTCAGTTTATGGAATATGTCCACACAGGAAAAGGACTTTGGAAAGAGCAAGTCAGACTTCAGCAGAGTTATTGCCAGCTGACACACCATCAAAAGTGAATGGAGAAATGAGACTTGTAGCTGCCACCTGAAATAACATTTATTGAGTCCAATTCTTTTCTTTGGAATCCAGGTGAGGAATTGATCAGGGCTCCACACCACAAAGCAGTACAAAGTCAGCACAAATAAGAGCAACGAAGCCTGTTGTGTTCAAATTTTGTGTCCCTGCATATTTGTGTAGCATCTCTCCCCTACAGGAAGTGAAAGGGCAGTATAGTTAGCCCTGACACATGATGTTTTTTAAAGAGCCACACATATGAGCGTTTTGGTCTAGAAAAGCACTACAGGGAATATCACTAGATAAAAAATTTGCTCCCTTTGAATCTTTTGTGATGACAGGTGTAAAGCCAGTTCCACTTCTCAGTGGAATGAATATTCCGTACAGACCCTTGAAGACTGATCATTAATCAACATGACAGACACTGACAGTGTCAATTAGAAGAAAGGGCCTTCATTACAGAACCTGACTTCCCATGGGGACTGTTAAGGATAGGGCTTCTGTGCCATTTGCACTGGGGGAGACGAATGTCCCAGAGTCCTTAGGACAAATGGTAAAAACCAGCATTTCAGCCCTAATAGGGAAGGGTCATTCACTTAGACCTGAGACTCAAACCTCAAAAGCTACAATAAGCTTTGACAAGGTTCAGTTTCTAAACCTATCTCACCACAGTATAGACCAGGCCTTCATCTGAGATAAGTGAGCTAAAAAGAAGAAGAAGAAAGAAAAAGAAAAACAAAACAAAACAAAACAAAACAAACCCAAAACCCAAGAAAACCCAACCAACAACAAAAAGAAAACAAAACAAAAAAACCCAGCACTCTTTTAACTTCTGTGACACTGGCTTGAGGTAGTTAAGGATAGCAGAGAGAGAGGAGAAAACGGCACAGCTAGTGGGAAAGGTGCAACAGGGAGGATTAAACAAATTTAGATTCATCAAGGAGACCAAGATGTACATAGATACAGAGTCTGCTCCATGAAAAACGTGGAGCAGTCTCTCCTTGGGTTTGGTTTTGCCTAAGTCACTTACAGAGCATACAATCTGGCTCACCTTTCAGGCACATGTGTCTCAAGGAGATGATTGGTAATAGGCCTAATGAAGGAGAACTATGATCTTAGCAGAAATGACATTTTTATTGAAAACAACCATGGAAGCATCCCACAGTGCTGAACAGGTTAGGAATGTGTGTGAAGCCTAATAACTATCACATCAAGATGCTGCTTACCAGAATCATGCTGGAGAGAGACTTTCCTGCAATATGCTTGAATTCAGCCTTTATAAGATTTAAGTCAACTTCACTTCGAGAAACGATCACCCTTATAAGAGTCCCATCATCGGTGCCAGCCCCCTGGAATAACAGATATATCAGTCTGTGATGTTAGTGGGTGCTCAAGGGATAAGCTGTTGTAAACTGGTCCAAGACAGGAGGACTCAGCTTTCAAACATCACTTGGCACATGTTCTACAGCACATCTGCTCCTCTTTCTGAAGGGCCAACCCCCACCCCCCTCCCAGGGGCCACTCTCAATACCACAAGCCCACCATGGAAGTGTGCTGTAAGTCTTTGCACATGTCAAATGCAAAAGCAAACGTGTTACAGAGTTGGAAGCTGGCACTGAATACATACTGTCCGTCTGCAGCATCACTCATGCAACAGTTGGCTTAAAACAATATTGTTTCATCGCTCACAGGAAAATTAAGATCAAGTAGATAACAAAAATAATCAGTCAGCTTTCCACAAAGCTGGGAGAGCTGACATCTTTTACATATCAGTTAAGAGTTACAGGGGGACAACCTGCACATGCCTTATGTGTCCTTGTTTGGAACTCTTTCATTTTATACTGCCATTGAGAGAATTGCTTGCTAAAAAGGAAATTTTGTGGTCCGGTCCGTTAAATTAACACTATGGGCAAAACTCCACCATGATCAACCTCCTAGAAAAGCCTCTTCCAGAAGTTTTGTCCATGTTCCAGAAGGTAGGACTGGGGTCCTTGCAGACTCCCCTGATATCTCAAGCTTAAAGGGTACCTTCCTAGCCAAGGTATTTGAAGGGATTCTGCTATTACTTGCAACAATAGCACTAAACTTGCCCGATTTCACTAAAACCTTGGCTTTTTGAGTTTGAATTGGTGGAAGCCAGGTTACCAGCTAAGTCCAGTATCAAAACAAGTATGTTACAATGAAGAGTCTTACCTTTAAAGCATGGTACAGCCTATCTGCAAAGTAGCAATGGACATTCCTGGTGCATTTCACTAGGCATACAAAAAGGCTCAGTAAGAATCAATGGTAATTCCAGTCCAGTGCAGCAGATAACAGAGATCCAACATGCTTTCCGTTAATTCAGTGTGCCCCTGGGGTCTGAGTTTGTCTTACATAAGAATAACGCTTTACTTCCTACCAGATAGCTTTGTAAAGTAGATCCACCTCATAGCAGTTAACTGCTGCAAGAGAAAAGGCAGCAGCTTGGACAAAGGAAAGGGAAACATAGCCACTCTTACCAATAGCCAGCATGGCATCCTCAAGTGAACCATGAGTTTCACTCTTGATAGAGTCTTCTATGCTCTTACCGGCCAGTTTCTGGTATTCTTCAAACACTGTTTGAAACACAAAGAACTTCAATTTTTTTACCAAGCAACCGCTCAGGCATTTTGTGCCCAGTATTCACAAATATTGCTTGTGCGGTGATATGAAAACACAGATCCCTCTAAAACAATGGCCACATTTGCACCAACTTCAGGAAGCTTTAGTCAAGCCCAGAAATCAGCTATAAAAATGGATGGTAACATTCACAAAAACCCAACCCATCTATGGGTCTTAATTCCTTGCCTTCATTTGAAAATGCAAGTTCAGTCACCTCATATTCATTTGGAAATCTGACCCTTCATTCCTGTCTTTAACTACAGAAATGAAGCAAACAGAAGGTTAGGCACAACTCTATAATTGCATCTTGAGTTTGTTGATGTCACTAGCTTCAAGAGTCAAAATAAAATCAAATTAAATGTAGGGCTATGCTGTTCATGGCCCTTGGACTTTTAAATGTTGACAACAGTTCGGGAAAACTTATTATTTCAACCATAATTTAAAAAAAACAACTGAGAAAAGATGAGCAAAACACAAGTGCAGATTCCAAGATATTTGAACTCCCATGTTAACAAAAGCTCAGCAACAGAGTTGTTCACATTATACAGTCTGGATGCTCTGGGGTTCAGAATTATAGATCTCAGTTTTGATTCCTAGTTTTCAGACTAACAAAGAAGGAAAACTGCGATGTAATGCAATGGACATGTTAATGAAGTTTGCTCAGCATTCAAGATCAGATACCTAAACATTAACACTCAGATACTTTGGGAAAGGCAATACCACAGAATAGACAGATGTAAACAGCCTTATCAACTCAGGCATACTCTCCATATTAAAAAAATAAAACCAAAACAAAACCCCCCGAATTAGCTGCAACTATTACATTCAAGTTTTGAAGACAGTTACAGGCTGCTGTAGCACAGAGGAAATTACTTGCTTGATGATACAGTAATGGTGATACCAAAGACTGGTCACAACAACTAGTTGAAATTCAGTTCTTAAAGGCAGACAGCCAAAGACTAGAGACCGCTTTTTTTTATTTAAGTGACACTGGGAGATTAAATTTAAAACACAAGGGGGAGCTGGCCTCCAGGGCCTAGAAAACAGTCTCAGAAGACCTCACCTTGAAAAAGCTCAGGCATACCCAATTTATCACCAACTAAATTTATCAGTTTAGGTCCAGCTGGTTTATACAGTACTTGATAAGCTTAGATTCAGCTGACATAACAAAATCTGTTAGTCAGCCTTGGACTGTCTCAAAAATCTTGAGATGACATGGCCAGGTCTCTGCTGCATGGGGCAGTGGGAAGCTGAGGCCTCCCTTAGCTGGAGCTGGGTTCCTGTCTTCCCTCCTAGCAGCCTCTGATGCTCTCAGAAGAACCTGGTGCAGAAACGCAGGGTGTACTCCAGCACTGAATAACCTTCTACACTTTCAGTGATTTTTTCGCAGAGGAAACCACACCCAAGGGGTTGTGGTTCTGTCCACTGCACGCTCCTACCTGGTTAGAAAGGGACTCTCTCTCGCTCCTTGGGTTTATAAAAACAGCTATACCATCCAGCCATCACCACTGTATAAGGACTCCTAGATAAGCCACTTGATTTTCAGCAGTACTAGGTCTTCATAAGTTTTCACAAAAGCTGTTGGCAGTTTTTGGTCACTGAGTGACCAAGGCTTAGGAGACAGACTCAAGTACTTATTTCTGACCACCCATCTCTCTCATCTATAGCCCTGCCTCTTCTTTTTGGCTAGAGTGATTTCTCATTTCAGAAGCTTGTATGGGCTTTGCTCCATACCTTTCAGCAAGTGCGTGGCACTCCTTGTGCACAAGATGGTGACGAACTGTGTCTCATCAGTGCCCTGTATCTTCTCCCCAGCAGCATAGAGAGTCTGTAATTTAAGACACAATTGTTAGAGATGTTCAGTGTCTGCAGCTGGTAAAGGAACACAGTTTGGCTTAAGGCACTGCTAGGATAAAGGGGTTTGAAGTAACGTAAAACACTATGTGAACTAGACTCTCCTAGAGTGGTTGATTATGAAAACCCTTAGGCATGTCTTCTAGTCAAACTGGAGCAGCCATTAACTCCACCCTTTTGGTTCCTCCTACAGCAGCTGGAGCAGCCAACAATACTCTTGAGGTTTCTTCCCTATTCTTTGCTGTCCCACTCCACCATACCCATATACTTTTACGTATCAAAAGCAGCTAAGTCCAAGTCCAGCTCTCATCTCTCCTTTTTGGAACAGCAAGGCCCAGCAGTGCAGGCAAAATTGAAGAAACCCAAGTTGCTTCTACTTGAATATCACCCCTCTCCAAACTATTGTGGCTCCAGCCCTCTGCTGAACAGGACCCTGCTGCCTACTGAAACACTCTGAAGTTCAAGACAGGTGGGATGCAGGCATATCACTGATGACAGATATTTAAGAGTACCTCTGCATCCTGGAGAGCCAGTGCTGTGTCCACATAGAGAGTGGCATTGTCCCTCTCACCCTATGAGAAGAAAAAGAAAGGTAACCATTTTGTTTCATGAAGATTCTTCCATATATAAGGATCACAGCATACTTTCTGGGAAAAGATCAATTATCCTCCTAAGCTATTTCTGCAGAGTACTCAAGTAGTAATGACTCAGACAGCACAAGTGCTAACTCCTTCACTGAAAGGCACGGAAATCAGACATATGAAGTAGAATCAAAAAATTGCTAAGTTCTTTGCTACTAGGCAGGAAAATTTGGAAAATGTGGTAGAATAAATGCATCCAAATGCACTCAGCATTAAGGCACAGACCCTGGAAAAGTGATGAATCATAGTTGAGGGATATTGTTTTCAAAGACCCTTGTAGAGTGCAAAGGCTTTACGCATATGTAAAAGTGAGATGTTTCCCTGCAGCAGAGCTGACTGAAAGTTCCCATACTGCTGCTAAGGGAGGGAGGGTTCTGTGCTTCAGTCACATTGAAAGTGAAACACAAATCCAGTCTAAGTGACTTTTTTGTCTCTGCAGTTCATCTGGTGATCATGACTATATGGCCTCTTCTGTTGCATGTCTCCTCCAAAAAGGAAGAGAAAAATGTGAAGACCTTTACACCCTCATTTCTCTTCTCTAGCATTACCTGAAGAAGGCAAACCAGAATCCGTTCAAAGTAGCCACTTGTTTCCGATTTTATGTCTTCTTCGAGATCAGAACCATATTCTACCCAAGGGAAAGGACAAGGGGAGGTTTTGTTATTTGAGTGGTATGACCAGGATATTACCACTCACTCAAGAACACACAATAGCCTCACACTAGTCAAGAAGGTTGCTAGGGCAAACAAATAGGGCTGAGATCAGCTCACACCCTCAGTGATACCCAGGTCGGCATTTGCATCTGACTGAGTCACTAGCTCCACTGATGTCCAAGGCATAAACCCAGAGCTAATGTTAGAGGTACAGTTTAAGGGACCAAAGAGATACCAAATATTTACAAATACATATTTGATAAATTCCCATCTAAAGTGTATTTAATGGGGAGAAAAAGCCAAGTGCATAGCTATAGAATTGTTTGCATTCTGACAATAGGCTGTGACCAAACTGATCCAAATCTGTGATTTGCTGACATTTTCCTGTAGCTGGATGGACATCCAGAAAGGTATTTTCAAATTTTCTCAGCATAGCCATGTTCTGTTTGCCAGGCTGAAAGCAGAGTTAGGTTGCACCTTCTTGCTCTTAAAAATCCCATTTTCCTTCTGACAGTGCTAGCTGGTAACATCATTCCTAACAATCAGGCAGTTACACATTGCTCTGGCCACACAAATCAGAGCCCCAGGCACTTTACCTTCTTTGTAGGCCTTGATTATCTCTTTGATTTGTGCTTTTGTCCGGGATGCAAGGATCTCTATGATAACATCTTCACTTGTTCCCACACCCTTTAATAGAAAACATAGTGGAGAAATAAAGGTGGAGAAAGGCATCTAGTCATGGAGTATAATTTATTGCTAGAGAAGTACAGCCAAGTGAGCAGTCGGGTGGCACCAAACTGTTAGGCTGTGTGCTGAGCTGTGCAAAAATGTCTTGATGAAAGCTGGAGACACAAAGCACATTTGGTTTGAACACAGTTTCTTTTACTGAGGTGCCTAATTTGTAATAGATGATTTTATGTAACCCTGCACTCCTGTAATGCATTTCTGGATTTGAAACTGGATTTGAGGCCAGATGATGTTATAGGGATGAGAGGAGATCAATGCTTGCCTAGTCAGTCCATCTTTGTACCATTTAGTAGACCTCTCTGCATCTGAAACTTGAAAAGATACTGTATCAATAGGCAGTATCCCAGCCAACCCCAGCCTGGCCCTCACACCACCACTCCTTGATTTCTTAAAGGCTTCACGTCTCAGGTGGGGCGTCAGTGCAGTAGCTTTGTATTATTGAGCTCCATTTCGGAGGGGCACTGCAGAAAGCAGCAAAGAGATGTTTAACTGGAAACTGTAATCTGTGGACGTTCATTCCTTGCCAAAGCTGAATTTGGTTTTGCTGTTGCCTTCCCCAGGCTCTGTGAGACACATACATAGAGAAACTCTCATACAGGCCTAAATATTAAAGCAGAATTTTCCCCCAGAATATGTATTAATAGTACAATTCACTATTTCTCAAAGGCTGCCACTAATAACAAACTTAATCATGTAACAGTCCAGTTATTACCACTGGCATTAATAAGCACAGTTACAGGAAATTAGCACTGTATCTGTGCTACTAAAATATCAGCATGCAATTCACTTACCTTCATGGCATCATAGAGCTCCTTGGCATCATACTTGAATGGGGAGTACATGAGAGCTACAATGAGCCTCTCAAAGTTGCCACTCAGTTCAGACTTCAGGCTTTCAATCAGATCCTATTAAACATATATCACACGGTTGCATAAAAAGCCTCACAGGATCTTTTTACTGCCCAGTGCTGTTTCCATTCCCATGGCCTACAGCAATGAAGCGGAATGACAGTATTGTGTTGATAGTTTATTAGAAAGGGTCTTGGAACTGAAAAAGGCACCTAACTCCAAAATGGGATTTGTCTAGGTCTTTCCACATTCCCTGTTGTCCCAATATTCAGGCTTCTCCCAGGTACTAATTAATTCTGCAGCAGAGTAGGAAAGATTAAAACCTTCCTCCACTATGCTTCACTTAGTGAGCGGAACTAGGCAGCTGAAGTCCTTTAATTGCACAAGGGATGTAGCTTCAGACAGAGCTGATTCCCAAAGCCTGCATATAAATCCAGGACTTTTGCAGAATCAGGCAGGCAGTCTGTTTGAAGATAGGCTTCAAACTTTACTTTCACTATAATGCAGGGTTTTTTAGGGTACGACTCACCCTGTTTTAGAGGGATGCAAGCAGTCTATTCATTGTCCCATACTTGTCCCCCTCCATTTGCTTCCCTTTCTGAGGCCCTTTCATGGCAGTCCCCTGTCCAGCAAGAGTCACAGAGACTCCAGAGTAGGGGCTGGTGGCAGAGTTTGCTGATGGAAAAGTTTTCCCAATGAAAGTAAGATTTTACCAAAGACAGAAAGATAGCTACAGGAAAAAACGGTTGTCAATAACCACAGTTTGTTTTCATTTTCAGAATTTCCAAACAAATGTAATTAAATAAGTCTTTAAATTGAACTTTCTTTGGCATTTAAAAGGGCCCCAAACAAAGCCAATATTTTACTCAAAATGCCACTTAGAAAGGTATCCTTTTTTTTTTTTTTACAGCTTCGAAAACAATAAGAAGTTACAGTTTAAGTTAAAATAGATTTAAAAAAAATATTTCTAGTCAAAATGCATTTTACAAAAATTACAAACCAGTTTTTCCAACCAAAAATTAATTTCACACAGCACACTGTCACCCCAGGCCTTATAAATAAATATTAATCTACATATTTGTAGAAGACCTGCATATTGTTTGCATCGTGCTTGCAGGATGAACTGTATACCCATTTACTACATCCTGCATGCAGTGAAAGAGTGATTGAATATGGCTTTGTTTTGGAAGAACCTTTCCAAACTGTCCTTTGAAGGATTTGGCAATCTGTTGACGCTGCATATTACTCCTCTTGGTTAGGACATCAATTATAGCTTGTTCATCAGTCCCTGTGGAGAGCAACAATAAGCCATAAACACAGTGCACAGAATAAGTTGAGACTAGTCCAAAATCCTAATTTGAATACTCAGATAACCTTCCCTAGTTCATTGCCTTCATGTAGAAGTTGAAGGTTGTACTGAGGAAACATAAATTTCTAATTTTCCACATTAAAAAGAGTGATCTCTCTGACTGCAATTGTCTTAAGGAATGGTTTTTCAACTTGGCAATTTTTATCAGAACATAGAATTTGCACGTGTGGTTGAAGTCAACTCACCAAGCCCTTTCATGGCCTTGTACAGAGTCTGAGCATCAGGTGCAGGGTCAAAGTTTAAAGCACCTGTCACGGACTTGCCCTCTGCTTCACTCTGAAAGAAGAAAAACACAGGACTTTCTGCCACTGCTTTTCATCAGCTGAAGAAAAAGTAGTTTGAAAGTACATTAATATTATTGATTGCCATTGGAGGGGTTGGTTCAAAGTCTCTCAGCAGAGCAGAGCTCCAAAGAGAGCACAAGTTTCCTGCCTCCACCTGCCTGTACCAGCCTTTGGCTCCTGGCAGAGGCATGAAGTGCAAAGCATGACTGACACTGCTACAACAGTCATTATCTGCAGGCAGTCCAGCAGAAAAAGCTGTGTAGGCTAGACTTTCCTATTCACCTCTTAAATAAAATGCTTCAGAGCATCTATGCTATTGTATCATTCTGCATTTCCCAGTGGTTTGGTGCAGGGTAGTTTACATACAGTTTTTCCTTTTCTTGGAATAGTCATGCTCTTACAGACTGTTTTTCTAAGTAGCAGCTTTATTCTGCTGCTGCTGTACTTCTGCACATCTGTTTTCAAGAAGGAACCATCTCCACTGGAAGGATTTGGGCCAAGAGACCAAGACGACCTTGAAGGAAGAGATCCACCTGGAGGGGTGCAGGTTTGATGTTCTCCCCTGAACCAAGGGACAACTACACAGGAATCTTCCAGACAGACCTCCAAGGTGTTGCCAGTGCCAGGGTAGAAAGACACGCAGAGACTTATTCCAGTCACTACAAGGTAGTAGGGCCATCAACCAGAACCCAGGCTTAAGAGCTTCAACTCAACAAAAGCTGTTAGTCAAGGGACTGGCTTGAATATATTGATGCATCTCTAATATTAAAGTCCTATCAACAGTGGAGTACGTGGATGGTTAGGCATAAAGTCATCACTGCTTTATTCCAATAATGGACACAATTTTCTCTTTCTTAGTAGCAGAGAGATTTAAGTTGAGTTGTCCCAGGAAACTACTATATTCTCATTAATTTAATTGCAGGGATAGGGTTAATACTGAACTAATGATATCAGTATGACCTGATGGATTCTTCAACGTGGGTGGTTTCACAGTCAGATAAAAAGCACCTTCAAATCAGAGCTTACAGACCAGAAGGAATCCCCATGGTTGCCCCATCTGACTTGCATAACACAAACCACTAAGTGCCAACCAGCAGCCTTCTGCTATGACGCAAATCCCTTCTGCTCTTATTTCCTGTGTGAAAGAGGGCTCTATCTCTCTTCTTCTAGAGTCCTTCCAGGTTATCCAAGTCCTCCCCAGAGGAAAAACCCTTCAAGTGACCATTGCCAGGTAAAAAAGCTTGTGGAAATTCCCCTCAGGACCCTCATTCCTGGTTTTTAATGAGAGACTAGAAGGTTAATGGCTGTGTGTTCAGGAGTGTCTGTCAACAAATGCCAGGTTTAGCCTAGCACCGTAGCTGAAGCACGCCCACACTGTGCGGCACAGATGCTCAGGCTGGCTGTGGGCAAACCAGCTCAGGCATCTTGTTGAGTGCTTTACCAGTAGATACAGCTGGCATGTGTTTGCACGCCAGTCCCTTTGCCAGCCAAGCTCTGGCAGCAGTGACAAGCACCCAAAAGGTAATGACAAGTACTGAGAGAGGCAGTATGTTCATCAGTCAGCAAGATCTGGAGAAGTTTGCTTTACAGCCAGCACAGACTCCTGTGCTACCACAGCTTGTTCCCAGCAGAAATAGCAATTGTGAAGTGGATGGTGTCACCAGGAAACTTCTCAATAGATGCAGCTTTGAATCCCAACGATTACTGAGCAGCAAGTTTAGGGCTGTGGTGAAGCTGTCACTGCAGAAAGAGCAGTGACAGACTAACACATTGCCACCCCCAACAGTTTGTCATCAATCTGGAACAGAGTTTGATTGAGCTGGCAGGACCATTGCAAGTGCTTCTTTTCTGACTCTCTGTGAAGTCAGCCAACACCGTTGCAACTGCCCTGGAAAGCAGGTTACACTCATGCACCTGATTTTGTTCTGAAAAAGATGGACAATCCTCCCTAGGTGCATGCAAGAACCATGTGAAACAAACACTCTGGACCCCTGCCTGGTGACTCAGTGAAAGAGGGAGTACAAAGCTGAGCTTTCATTTGGAGGCAGTGGAAACAAATTAAAGAATGGTCTTTTTTGGAACTAACTCCAATAAACATTTACAGCCTGTCCTGGTTCAAGTAGCACACTCATGACTCACTCATACATCTCATTCTCTGTGTACTTAATTGTTCCAGCACAGGTACAATCACGACAGGTTTCCAGAGAAACTCTGTTCAGTTTACTTTTGTTTCCCAGGTGAACTGATCCTACAATTACCTGATTGAAACTACTCAAGGCATCTGTGTAACACTCATGTGAAAATGAGTAACTGGCACAAAAACAATGGAATCAGCATACCTTACAGCTGATGCTCTGAAAATTTTACCTACAAATGAAGGGGATGGGGATTAAAAGTTTTCCTACCAAAATATTTTCAAACCTAAACAGTAGTTTATTGAAAATTTGGAATTTGGGGACAGGTGGGGTTACCATTTTTTTTTTTAGTGGAAAATTTCTCAAAAAGTTTCACTTTTTTTTTTTTTTTCTTTTGAACTGTATTTTCTATGTAGGCTTAAGAAAATCAGAACTATTTTTTACCATCCTTCCTTTCCCCTTTCATCATCTTCTCATGCCTCCATTCCCTACTATACTGACAGGTAAGAGATCACTGGAGATTTCAAGGGCTTTTCTCCTCACACTACATTTTCAAAGTATTTCCATCTTGGGGGGTAGTGGGGAACCGGTCAGCAGAAAGTGAAAAATTAAAGTGAGAGCTACTCCAAGCTATGGAAAAAAAAAAAATACCCATTTTACCATACTAAACTTCCAAAAGGAAATAGGGAGGCAGATGGAAGTTAGCAGAAAGGAAGATTACAATTTTAACCTCAAAGGGGTGGTGGGGGTGTGAGTCATGATACATTTTGAGATTAGGAATGTTTCCTATCTGAAGTCCACTGAAGGAAATTAGGAATTAGCTTGGTATTCTCCACCCCATGAGGTGTTTTGGTTTAGTTTGTTTTTTTCTCCAGTTCCCATCCCTCAGTTACAAAATTGTGACCGAGAACCTGAAAAATGGTCATGTCCATACAAAGTGGTTTCTCACTCCTTGATGAAGTATTGCACTCGAGATAACATGATACGCTGCAAGACAGCTCTCCTACGCTTCCCGGGTAGCTTTGCTGGCATATGGCAGAAAAGGCCCCTTACACCCTGCTCAACCACCAGCGCCAGGACTGCCAATGCCCCAGCTGGGAGAGGAGCAGCAGAACTGGAGCCTCAGTACAGTAGTGCTGGACAGGAGGCAGGACTGGGAAAGAAGACTTCTCTAGCAGTACTTCTCCATCGCATGTCTCCAGCAGGTCTCTTCTAGGCTTTGGCTTGTAGTTATCTGGACACAAAGTCTGGCAGCAAACCTGGGCTTCCACAGAGGCTAACGGGAGAGCTGCCATGGATGGCAGCAGAGCTGTGCACATCACCAGAGCTTCCTGCTGCCAGGCCTGAGCTGTACCCTGGAGGCTGCCTCAATGCACCCCCCATGAGCATCCCCCCATCCTGCCACATTCTTCCCAAAGCCACGAGAGTTTAAAAGAGAACATACACAGCATTTCTGGTTCCTAGCAGACAGACAGGGTGTTCAAGTCCACATTGCCATTGCAATATTAAAAACCCACCAAAGAAAAAGACATTGTGGCTTGACCATATCTCCCTCTGTGACCACAGCCTGCCAGCGCAACTGGGGACCAAAAAGGGGACAGGCCAGTGCCCTGAACCCACTGCCACAAGAGAAGGGAGGGACAAGGAGCCCGCAGCTTGCAGACCTCAGCTGTGTAACTTTGCTGTTCCCTGGTACTGTCTCCCCATATACACGGGCATACAAACATCTCCCTGCACCACTCTCAACCAAATGACCAGGGAGAGTCTGCTGCTCTTCTTCAAGCCAGCAATCATGTTGACACCTTCCTTAATCAAGGTTTTTGAAGTGCTGAATGCTATTTTATAGCCAGAAACCCAGTAAAGAGCTCTTGCTGATTTTTAAAGGGAAACGTTTCATTTCCACACAGTGCCTGATGCAACTTACAAGTTACCTTATTATGGTGCCAAAAAATTCAGGTTATCTGACTTCAATATTTCCTCTACTTACCCAGGCCTTCCACCATGCCATTGTAGCCTCAGTAGTGGTACCTGGATCTGTTGATGAAGAAAACCACATGTGTTACACCTCACAGTTAGGGAATCTGAGATTTGAAGGGGATGGAGGAAGAAGAGGAAGAAACAAAAGATCTTTTCAATAAACTTACCACAAGAAAACTGGAATAACTGTATGCCTCAGGAGGCTTATTCCCTCTGGAAGCTGCAGAATGTAACTGGCCTCTCTGTGCTGCGAACACGGAGGTATAAATCACCTTTATCTACAAATTCCATGGGGCAACGCCCTCAGACATGGCTCAACCTGTTTTTCACATATGATCTCACAGGGAGAGATCGAGTTGCTTAAGAAATGAAGCTTCCCTCGTGAGGAGCCCTATGTTCAACCCTGTTGACTAAAGTTCATTGTAATTTTTCCACTGCTTCTCCCCACACGCCCTTCCCTGCTAACATTTTGGCCTCTGGCACAGACACCACATGCAAATTACAACCAAGTAATTTCTCAGCATAAAACTCCATTGAGACTTGGTGAGTTCTGCTACAACAGAATAAGCCACTCACTCATTATTACCGACTCTTTCTATCTCTACCAATCTGGAACATAGCAAAATGGGAATGCAGAAACTTAAACCTTCCCCTACCTCCCTTCCTTCAAAAAAAGCTTATTGAAAAAAACACCCAAAACACCACACCACAAACACATCCACATCCCACACTATACATGTCCTACACCTTACAGTAAAGCAGCAGACTGTACAGAGACTTGGGAGGTCCCCCCATCCTATACCTAGACTTGTATGGCATGAGTCAAGAAGCAACTCTAGACTAACATAGGACTAGCACATTTAAGGCTAACAACTTTCAGTAATGTTAACCCCAGCAAAGTTGTCATAGGGCTTGCACTAACTGCTGTGCCATGTTAAGACTTAGGAGTAGAGTGTGAGATGTTGGGGGTTTTCTCTTTTTGTGTTTGTTTTAAAAAGAGATTAACAGCTCTTGATGCCTTAATTTGGAGAAATGTTTCTGTGAAATCAGCTGAAATATCTTATGGTTGTAGCAATATTTTCCTGTCTAGACCTTTGTCAGAATCCACTTGTGCCAGCATTTATTTATTTATTTTAAATGGAAAACTGCCCTGATGGAATCATTCCCACCCATATCTTAACCCTTGCTATATAGGAGCTTTCTCCCCTCTCACATTTACAGACCCACATGGGATGCTGGGTAAACACCAAACTAGGGGCCTCTCATTTTCTTCCCACACATTGCTATTTCACTTAACCCAGCAGGGTCCCTGATGGTCTGGGAAGCTGCCCTGGCTATTCCCAAGGGAATGAGCTCTGCCAGCTGCTTCTGTCTCAAACACATCCATCATCTGGTGAGGGCAAGTTGTGAAGAAGGAGGCATTGCCTTTGGCATAATAAGCATGCCGTCAGGATCTACACTGGCTTGGTTTCTAGCCATGTTTGTGAGGAAGCTTCATTAACAGCACACAGCAAGGAGAGGTCAGGAGGAGTCCTTCATTCCTCCTGCTCCTCCTGGGGGTAAGGTGGATTTGCTTTTGCTGGATCCCAGGGCTGTGTCTGGTTGTCTACATATGCCTTTTCCCTGTACTGGGATTTAATTGGGTCAGCTTGCCATGGAGGTCAGTTCACTTGAAGACTCCAAGGATAAAGAAGCCCTTCTAGACAGAAGGTCACAGAGTTACAGCAAACAGCTGTAGGTCACAGAGGGGAGCAGACACCAAACCAGATAGAAAACAGGAAAAAGCCCAAATGGTCATCCTTGCCAGCATGAACTAAGAAAGCAGTGAAGGGACACAACAGGGGATTTTAATGCAGGGAAATACTGGCCAGGTTTTAGGAAATCAATATGGATGGGCTAGGAAAGGTCTGAAGAACCTGAATCTCTGCAGCAAGGCTCACAGCAGCCCTGCACAGTCTTAATACTGACCAGAGCAGTCGGCACTCACAGGCCAGCGAGGCAGGAGGCAGACACTATGGTCCAATATCTGTTTTGCTTGCTCAGATGCTGTTAAACTGAGCAACTTAAACATGAACAGACTCATCCTCACACACTTCTTGTCCCTCCCTTAACACACATACTATGTATGTGAGTGAGCTTATCCGTGGTTCATGGACCTTACTGCTGTGTACCAGAAACATATACACAATTTTTACAGCACCAGTAAGCTATGTAAGGCACAACCTCACATACAGCTCAGTGACTACCATCAGGAACATGCAAAACTTCAGAAATTGGGCAGAAGATGATGCACAGGTTCTCTCAAGTCTCACTGTCTCACGCCCCACAAGAGGCCATTTTTGCATCTCAGGTGACACTCCTTTTTGGAAGGTGAACTCCAAATGCACTAACAAGACCGTCAGTAGAAACTCTGCCCAACACCATATTAAGGTGGTTAGAATTTGACTCAGACAGTGATCCTGTTTGCTTGTACTGTAGGGTACTGTGGTACCCCAGAAAATACACTTATCCCTCAGCAATGTGCAGGAGGAATACCCAGGCAGTGGGTCAATCATGCTGTGGGTACAGACACCCATAGAGTGTCTGCACAGTGAATCTTTCTCAAGCCTCATCCACGGGACTCCTCTAGGCTTTCAGAGAGTCCCTGTTTCTGCTGGTATGCCCGGCACAGCCATCAGCCAGCAAGAGTGGGCAGAAACCTCCAGCAAAAGAAGAACATGCATCATAATCAGGTTTGGTTTGTGCATTTTTAAGCCATTTGGTCCAAATCAATTTTCAGCTAGACAAAATGAAGCAGCAGTGTACTTGGCTTTTCTTGACTTTGCCCTTGGGACTTTCCAAGCTTGAATCAGTGACATTGGAGCTGCCCCTGATACATACCAACCAGCGTAAAGAAAGTTATGAAAGAAATCACAAGCAGAAGTTTGCTCAACTTTTTTTCAAACTCCCAAAATGTTTAAGGCATCACAAAAAGGTGCTGATAGCCTTAGAAAGGTGCATTACTAACATTACTTCAAGAAGCTTTCACCACCCATCAAGCTCTGGCTGTTCTGTTTTAGATTGAATGACAGCAGTCTAAAGAATGTTTTAACTTAGATTGAGGATGACTAAAGTCTTCTAGGGTGCAGAGGCAGCCCTCTTCTCCCCTTTCCATCTGTAGGTTTGTAAAGTGTGGCCCTACGCCTGGAAAGTTTCAGGCCAGGAGCTGAGTGCTTTGGAACATGAAAACTTAAGGAAACCAGCTTCTCAACTGCTCAGCAATTTCACTTACTCCATGGTTTTCACTTCTAATAGAGGTTTTTCAAGCTGATATGAACAGCCCAGCCCATTGGGAATTTCACCCCAAAGTTTGTATTTGTTTGTTTTTTCAGCCAGGAACTTGGAAATCAAATGGAATCATTGTGGAAACAACAGACCGATCACACAGATATACTTTTATGCAAAGCAATACTCTGACAATTGTATAACATAACTACTTAAATTTGAGGAAATTAGAGCATACCCCTCAGACCAAACAGGATAGAGGTATTCTGCTGCAAGGCTAAAAAATGGATAACTTTCTCCAATCCAGTCTGTACGCAATATCATCTAGAACTGTAGCTTTGATGAGGACCCAGTTCAGCAAACTGCAGGAGGTTTTTTTTTTTTAATGTATAAAAGAAATCACCAAACTCATGCAGTACTATGCTTCCCAGATCTGGACATTCCCCCATTACTTACATGTCTTTTAGCTCTACACCCATTATTAACAACACTTTGCCCTACCTTCCAGTGACTTACACCAGTCTCTTGCCCCAGCAGCTGTTATGTTTGCAGACAGGCTTGCACCCTCTCACTGTGCAAACTACACCAGTTTCATCCTGCAGATTTTAAGTCACTATGTAAACAAGACCAGGCGCTAGCTTCTGCTCCCTTTTTTTTCCCCTTTTATTCCTGTTTATCACTACTTAAATGGATACAAGCAGCTGAATTCCCTCACAATTCTTAAGAGCAAATGCCCTTACATCTACTAATCAGCTCAACATCACCTGAAATCAGATCATTATATGGGAGAGCTGTGTAAATTTGCCAGCAAGTCAATTCAAACAAAAAGTTATTGTCTGTTTATGAAAGAGGTGTGAGCTGGGGAAAACGAGCAGATGGGGAAGGCAGGTTTTGAGCAAGGAGAGCATCTGTAATGCAAAAAGAAAGTCACCAAAGACTAAAAAAATTGTACTTGCCTACCTGGTAGCTCACTGCTCACTCTGCCCTTTCCTCTTGTGCCTTTTAACTATCTTTAACAGTGAAAATGACCCCCAAATAGGATTATTTCCATTTGAAAACCACTAGCGCAGCTTAATTTTCCAAGTTTCCTTTATTACCACAAGCAGCTTTGTGCCAAGTATCATAAGAGAAAATTCATGTCTATGTGTTGTGGAGACTGTTCAATCACAGAAGCAGCAACAGAATAAAAATTCAGGGCTTGATTCCCCTCAGGACCTTTGTAGCTCAGGAGGACGAGCCCTAGGGTCAGCAGGGACAGCCAGTGCTGCAGGGGTCCGCACAGAGGTTTGCAGGGGTTACTGAAGGGCCTGTGGACGTCGCCTTTCCCGAGCACCTTTGCTGCACAGGGCCCCTCTGCTGCTGGTGGGAGAGCCAGGGTGAAGCACTAACACAAACACAGCAGAGCTCGTACCCTTGGCTTGCTTTGCCTCTGCTCTATTTCTGACTCTGGCCGAGCATTTTTCTGCTCATTCCTTTCTTGTGCTAGTGCTGGTGCCAAGGAATTCCTCCCAGTCACCCTAACAACTGTTCCCCACACAAAGCAGGCAACTGCTGCTCTTGTTTAACCCCAAAGGCCAACAAAGAAAGCATCCTCTGAATCAAAATGGGCAAAGGCAGCTCACTTGGGTCTCATGGGGACTTTACGGATGCCAGGAGTTTACATGCCAGCAGTGGGTGGTAGGCAGCATTCAGGAAGCCTTTGGATGCTTACAGCTGAAATATTTTGTGCATGTCCCCACCTACTGCTGTGGGGATTGTTTCTTGCGTAGTCCTTGATGGA